AGATTTATGGAAATCGGTACCATATTTGCGTTCTGAATAGTAAGAGTTATCGTAATCGGTAACATATTTGTGTTTTGAATGGTAAGATTTATAGTAATCGGTTACATATTTGCGTTTTGTATGGTAAGATTTATGGTATTCGGTTACATAATTCGTAAATGAACTTTTGCGTTGAATTACAGAAATAATTGCTCATAACGACCACAACCGTAACCGGTCAACTTTAATAATACTTTTTCCCCCTCAAAAATTTTTAAATTCTAAATGCCTATTAGCAATCGTAAGCAAATAACATCATTTTCACTGTATGCTACAAATTATCGCCTAGTGCTAACATTATTCTTTTTTATATATAAAACTTTACACAAATAAAACTAAGCAACACTGTTAAGTCTTGATTAATTAAACAAAAACTGTGACAAAGGAACAAAAAACTGCATTAATATAATATTCTGTTATGATTATTGTACTTTTCCGTTCCATGGAGTCGAAAACAACTGCTATTTTACTATTGACGCCATCGATGCTCAATTAATTGTGAAATAGTTCTAAACCAGTTGTCGTGTCTGAAAAAAAGTCTCAATACTGAAACAATAGGGGAAATGATAGGAGTTGTTTCAAAAGTTTTGATTTGTGTCCAATATAGAAACCAGCTATTTTATCTTTCTCATTAAGTGAGCTTTCTTCATATCTTAAATCTTCTAATGGCGTAGAGAAAATGTTAAAATGGGGATAAACTTAATTGTCACTGTCTAGACAAGTGATATAGCTTCTTTTGTATATTTTTTGGTTGAGTTGAATGACATTGAAACCAAATCGATAAGGCTAACCCTTCAAAAGTTAGAGAAATTTGATTATTATTAAAAAAAATTCTAATATTTGATTATATCTATTTACTAATCTAAATTTTCAATTTAGTCAACGGCAGCTCTTACGATAAATCTAATAAGACTGATACGAAGCTGCCAGAAATAATAGTTCAATCTTTATTAACGTTGCTATCGGTAAAAGTATACACCTACCCACACCTCTGACATATTTATATTGACAGGCAAAATATTCAGTTATAAGAACTATAAAGTTGTTCCCTAATGTTTCAATTACTTGTGTTTAGCTCACTAATGCTTAAATACGTTAGCTACCAATTTAATTTAAGAGAAAAGCTTAGTTTTATAATTAGGGATGAAAACTGCATTTCATATTACATTATTAGCATACCATAATATAATTTGAAGTATGTAGTAACTACTGCTGCGGTATACTAGTAATAAACTACGTATACTAGTAATAAAAAATGTTAGCTACCAATTTAGTTTAAGAGAAAAGCATAGTTTTATAACTAGAGATGAAAATTGCATTTCACATTACATTATTAGCATACCATAATATAATTTGAAGTAAGTAGTAACTACTTCTGCGGTATACTAGTAATAAACTACGTTTACTAGTAATAAAAAATGTTAGCTACCAATTTAGTTTAAGAAAAAAGCATAGCTTTATAATTAGAGATGAAAATTGCATTTCATATTACATTATTAGCATACCATAATATAATTTGAAGTAAGTAGTAACTACTGCTGCGGTATACTAGAAATAAACTACGTTTACTAGTAATAAAAAATGTTAGCTACCAATTTAGTTTAAGAGAAAAGCATAGTTTTATAATTAGAGATGAAAATTGCATTTCATACTACATTATTAGCATACCATAATATAATTTGAAGTACGCAGTAACTACTGCTGCGGTATACTAGTAATTAACTTTATATTAGTCAGTTAACAATAAGCTAATATGTATTTTCCTTTGATTGTAAATTATTTTTCAAACTTTAAAATCTGAAGTATAATTTTTAAATCAATGAAATAAGTCCATTGTCAAAATAAAAAGAATAATCTTTGCTTAGTTTTAGAGAAAAAAAATTGGAATTTTTTTATTACTTACATTTGTTTATATTTAACTTATTCATCAATTATTTAACTTGCTTATAAATCTTTTCTTTTCCAAACAATAACCTTCTTTCTAGTACTCAATTGATGCAGAGTTTTGTGCTTTGCATTTTATGTGATTTCGATGTGAATTGAGAAACTTTATGCCACTTTCGGAAAAAAAATGGCTAAAACTATTCTGGCCAAAGCTAAGTTGAGAGTGACAAGCTATTGATCCAATCATTAAGAATTTTTTTTTTCTAATTGCGGGTACTGAACTTTTCCGTTCTTCGCCTAGGACGATGCCGGAAGTACTACTCATATAACGTTACCCAATGGGCACCTGTGAACCTTGGTCACGGAGGCGAGCCCATGCCACACTGCCACACTGCCCACGCCACAGATACCCTTTTATGGAGTGGGCCACATTCACACATCACATAGTATTTTATTTTCATAACCGTCGTTGAACAGACGACCCAATTTTATGGGTTTACGACTACTAATGTTCATCTTCGTAACCTTGTTATTTTGAACCCAATCCAGAAGACAGGGAGACTCCTGGATCGAGTATTGGGAGAAATTTGCCTTCGTGTAGGACTTTTTGATGGAGGTAACCCGCAACAGCGTTACATAAAGAGGGAGACCACGAGAACATATCACTATTAACCTGACGACAAAGGGGACTCTATCCCATGATACGTCTACCACTGAGGATATTTCACGTCAGCACTGTGGTCGGTGCAAGCCGGATGCGGCATTCATATCAACTGGGATTCGAACCCGGTTCGCCTCATTGGAAGGTGAACGCTCTATTCCCTCTGCCACCGCGGCTCTCATATCACACAAAAGAGAACAACAAACAGAGAGAAACATCTATGCCCTGATTGGGATTCGGACCCGCAGCCATTGACTACGCAGTCAGGTTCACTAACCGCTCAATCATCTGGCCGGCATCATTAACAAATAAAACTAATCGTTTACAACGATTCTCACTTTTGCACATTTCTTTTCTCAATTGTGAACATTTGCTTTACATTATTAGGTAGTTTTTCTTGAATATATCTACGAAATATATTAATCATGTATTTGTATTTCATGCAGGTTTGATAAGGGCAAATACCCCCTTAATAGAAATAATTTATGAGATAATTTTGCTTAAGAGAAGTGAAATTAATTCCGTTTTATGGGATATTTATATTTTATTCTTGAATCCTGGTTTGCATAGAAAAACGACAAAAATATTAAAATTTGTTCTATTTCGTAAGAATTAGAAATTTTACCTAAATATATTAATGTATGTAAAAATTTCTAATTCATTAACATGGAGATCAGTAATTTCAACTTAAATATATTTAATTTTTACTCCTTAAAATATATGCACTGAGAAAAAAGTATGTTAAAAACTACTAGACTATGGTAAAATTTACCATACTTCTGACTCTATGGGAACACCAAAAAATTTTAACCGAAGATGATTTTTATAAAATTTCGTGCTTGGTATACAAAAGATTTATTGTGTTAAATTTACTTTTCATTTTTGCATTTTTTTTACAAAATACAAGGTAATAAAAACTTTAATTTTGAAAATCAAAATTTTTGGTAAACTATTACCGTATAAACGAGAAAATTACCAATTTTATGGTTTAAATGCCGTTGCGTTGGTTTTATAAACCAGAATTATATTTCTTTATCATAAACGTCATTATCATACAGTACGTTAGTTTTACTAGAATTTTTTCCTCCGTCTAAAGTTCTTAATTTCTAATTCCGTTTAAGCAGTTTTTTTTTTAATTTTTCGGACCTCCGAAATTTTAATATTTAAGAAAAGAAAAATGAATACTTCACGAGAAATTTTTCACTCTTTTTCTAACTTGGAGCCCATTAAAGACAAGCATTTAATACGATAACAAATCCAGCAGTCTGAATAATAATAAGGCAAACTATAATCAGTAATACAATGTATAATTTTATTGTTATTTCTTTGAAAATTTTTTTGTTTGCCTTGAGTCTGTTGAAATGTGTCTTTTTATTCATTTACAATCCCGTGGCCACATTATTAGAAGCACTATAAGATTCTATGTAAAATTTTAATTAGCAGGTGATACTATACAACTGTATTGTTTTTACTCGAATGAAATAGGTTAACATTTGTTTACGATCCTGTATCAATTGATTAACATTGTAATGTAATATGTTGAAAATAATTATATATATAAAGTATATAAAAAAATCTTTTGCATAAAAACCCCATTGCATGTATGTTTAAATATAAAAGTATTGCATATAAACTCATGCAAATCATGCAATTATTAAAAAACTGCAGTGCGTCTAATAATTTAAACGAATTATTATAATATACTAATAAAATGCTTGATATAATAAATAATAAATAATCCATATTTATAAAATATATCGTCTAATTTATCCTATCGTCAAATTTATAGTATATATGGTCTAATTTATCAAATTGATACACCAACGCTAAAAAGTGCGAACCGGTTTCAGTCAAATAGCAGCAATTAAGCTGTATAGTATAACCTGGTAATTAATATATTTTTTTTTATAGAATCTCATAATGAGTCTAATAATATGGCCAGGGACTGTATGTATGTATACTGGCATTTAATTTCGCGATCCCTACCCAGTGTGTCTCCATTTTCCGTGCGGGTCATGACCCCTTTTCTAGAAACACATCCTTAAAGTAAAAATGCGTAATAGTCAGTCTAGTATGGTGACAATCCTTAACAAACTTATGTAAAAATGAAAGGTATTTGTTCTAAACTTTTCTCAGTTTTATGCAGAATTAACGAAAATACATGATATTATATGTTACAACTGATGTCTAAAATTCACAACTAAGAATCACAATGAAAGCTGAAAATCACAAATTTTAAGCTTAGAAGACGTATAAATGGAAAATATAAGTTCACGTTAACGAAAAACAAACTTCATATTTCATTGTTTATGCTACGTTTATAACACAATTTTTTATTCAAACTGTATGCGAAGATGATTTCTATCTTTCATTCTTAAAGACGGTTAATTGACATTATGTGCATTTCTTTATTTATTTACTTGTATTGAGGATGTATGCGGTCTTTGTGTCGTTTAAGATGACTCTGTTGAACAAAACCTCTTTCACACAGGTGACACTTGTGGGGGAACTGTTTTGAGTGTTTCAGAATAATGTGCCTATTAAGAGTAGAATACTGTGTGGCCCTGTATTGGCAGGCGGAGCACTTGTAGGGTCTCTGCAGTGTGTGGATTCTTATGTGTTTGTGAAGATCTGAAGATCGGGTGAAATCTCTTCCGCAGGTGGAACATCTGTAAGGTCTGATGCCGCTGTGACTTCTCTCGTGTGTCTCCAAGTCTCCTATCCGAGTGAAGTCTCTCCCACACACTCCACAAGAGAAGGGTCTCTCTCCACTGTGGATCTTCAGGTGCGTCTTGAGATATCCTTCTTGAGTGAATGTCTTGAGGCAGTGGGGACATCCGTTGCTCCTCTCACCCGTGTGAGTAGTGAGGTGACGTCGGAGATCACCTGAGTGGTTGGTGGAGTAGACGCAGTGGGGACATCGGTGCCTTCGATCGTGTCCCTGATGGGGATGTTTCCTCCTGTGTCGCTCCATGGCATCCACGGATGTAAACAATGAACTGCAGACATCGCATGCAACACCTTTTACATCTATAAAATAAACTGTTTTTAGAGTAAATCAAGATACAAAACATAGCAAACATTTAAAAAAAACTATTATATAGTAACTTAACCAGAATGATTGAATGATTAAAATGTCTTTTGCAACAACACTCACACATTGAAAATTCTTTGAAAATTCTTGAAAATTCTTTTCTTTTGGCTTCTTGTTAATAATAAACTCACAAAGTCAGTGTCACTTTTAATAGATATAAAGCATTTATGTTTTTTTTTTTAAAAGTAAAATAAGTACATTATGAAATACTCAAGACAAACTTGCCCGCTATAGTGTGTAAAGAGAAAAAAAGAAATACAAAATGAGCAACCTATTTATTTTTGATCAAATGATCAGATTTAAATGTACCAAGATGTAATAGTAATAGTTCTAGAAGCTAAATTTGAAAAAAAATATTATAATTAATGTGTGTTAGGTTTTGAATTACAACATCAACTAAGAGAAATTAGTTTCAAACATTTCATATTTATAAACTAATTTTACCCGCAAAATATGAATAATATCTTAATTACGGTGTTTTCAAGGAGGTTGTAAATTAAAATTGGGCCATTGCTATTAAACTGAATGAATCGTTGTTCTTCAAGTAACTCTTAATTCTCTTGTTAAAATGGAAAATACCTTATTAAAAGAAGATAAGCATGCACACGTAAAAAAAGTTCCACACACACTACCTAATTAATGCAAATTCTTATGAATCCCCAACCCAAAAGGAGCATCTGAAATTATAGAAAAGATTCATAGTGCAGGTGCATAGATATAAAAACCTTACAGATAATATAATTTAGGGTGAAATGCTGAAACGATCATAAAGAGGTAAGATTTCAAAAAACATAAATGGACGTATAAGTGGGCGTTAAATGTCATAAGTCGGTATTATTTTATAAATCTTGCTCACTGAAAAGTACCACGCCCTATTATGAAATTTGCTTTTCTAAATATATTTTTACACAAAAAATATTTCTAACAACTATTTATTATTTTTTATAATTTTACTTAATAATAGTCAGAAAAATTTTGAGTTGTAAAGTGTACTATTTCTGTAAAATTTTAATGTATATAACTTTTTCATTGCAAAATAAAACGTTTGTATGAAATCGGCTGACTAGCTCTTGAAAAATATCTGAGTTCTTATATCTGAGTTCTTATTAATTTGAATTTTCAGGAACTATTCGACCGTTTTCAGCCAAATTTTGACATAAAGGTAAAACTAGCAGAATGGATAAAAAATATCAAGTTTTAGATTTTTTACACCATCGGTTTTAAAGATTTTTTTTTAATTTGGAAAGATTCATACTTGTTTTAGATTATTTTCTTTAAATTCGTAGCCTGAGACTTATTTAATTAATGAAGTTAATTATTTTTATCATATTTTGCTCAGTTTTTAGTCGGTTTTTAGCTCAGTTTATATAAAAAATCATTTGATAAAAAGAATAAAATTAGGTTCTTATAAAATTTTAAGACGAAATGTTGATTTTTTTAAAGAAATGTTTGTATTACTACATGCAAGACTTGGTTAATACAAAATAAATTAATTTCTAGTTTGACATAGCCGCGAATTATGTTGTTACTTGAAATTGCCACTTTATACCAGAATTGTTCAAAAAATATAATGTGGTTCTTACTGCATGATTTACCACGGTTAAAGTAAATTTTTATTCCTTTTTTATGACTACATTGCCATACCAGAATGGAAAGTCACATAAACATCGTTAAAAAAGGTTTAAATATATTTTTATCTAAAGAAAAAATTAAAATATTTGATTCTTATTTCTTAAACACTTAAACTAAAAAGTAACTTAGGCAACGTTTTATTTCAGAAAATACCATTAAAATTTAACAAACGTAAAGAAAGCTAAGTTTTTAAACATATAGTTCTCATGTTACAGCTGTACATATGTTACAAATTATTAAACTTTAAAAAATTGCAATTACTTGTAAGTTTATGGTGTGAAAAATCAATAGCTTGATAATTTTTAAATCAGTTGCCGGTTTAACAATCATAACGAATATTATAAAAATACTTTTTATTGTTTAATTTAATACCGAAGTACCCTTGAAGTTAAAACATTAAAAACATAATACAAGTAGTACTGATTGAAATAGAAAATTATGAAAAAAGCTAAATAATCACTTTGGAAAAAAATTTCAATTCACTCACAGAGTATATAAGGTATTTTTAATACTGTCACAGTGTCAAATGCATACTACATCCCTAAACTTGTCATTTGAGTTATGAAATACACTGCTATTAATATGAATATCATTAAAACATTTCTTAATATTAAATAATACTTCTTAAATTGAATTGTATAAATAAAATCAACGCAGCAGAAAATGTTTTGTAAGAAAGTAGTAAGAAAAATAATGTATTTGTTCAAGAAGACAAAAAGGTAGAAAAAACATGTTTAACATGCATTTCACTCGTTAAAATGTTAAAGACATGTTGCAGGGCCAAAAAAAAAGCATTTTGTTTATCAATATTGACAGCTTTTCTTCTTCTGAGCTTAAATTTTCTGTAAAAGAAAAGCATCACGACTGTGTAAGCCTTTTAGACTATAATAACATATAGTCTAAAACTCTAAATATATAATCGTTTTATAGTTTAAAACTATAAAATGCTTAGATTTAAAGCAAAAAAAAAACATTATTACCGAAACTTTAACGATTATTAAGGCATAGATTTTATTATTTATACTTGGTTGGGTGGTTTCTGTCTCCCTTTTCAAGTTTATTCCAAGATCGGAGGCATATTTTCCTCCATACCACACCAGAAGCTCTTGAAATGGTAACACTTCTCTGTATGTCTTGTAATAGATTTGCTTCTTGTACTGGATTGCCACTAAATTCTGTTTCTCTTCCTTATCAGCACAATTCACGAATCTCAACCAATTGGAAATATCCTTTTTGAATCCCTCAATAAAATGATCCACTTTTCCTCCCTTCCATATCTAAACAAAAAGAAGTAAACATTGTTTAACAAGGTAACAAAACTGAATGTATTGACAGTTACAATATACATAGCAAATAAGAGAGTACTTCAGAAAAATTTGCCAAAAATTATAACTATTGAAATATAATTGTGCGAAGCAAACTGGTTTTAAGTTTAAAGAGCTTTAAATAAAGTATTTTTTTAACTAACAGACTTTAAAAAAATTGTAAGTTCTCTGATATTAATTAATCGGTATACTCTTATAGAAATATTTAAAATATTATGAGAATTATTCATGATTTTGATCATTCAAACAATATCATTGTTTGAGTTTTTTAAAAATAGTTTTACTTTTTTATAAGAATCTTTATTTTTTTTAAAAAAAATATGAGGTTGCAAAACAATTTTATCTGCGCCTAAGAATACGTATTATTCCTTTTAATCTCACATACTAAATATGCTAAGTATAATATTAATTTACACTATCAAGTAAAGGCATTGGTATCTCTTACTCCATTTATTTTTTAATGAAATTAATAAATTTTAATCTAATTAAAGCAAATACCTAAAAATCTGTATTCTAAATTATTGAATTTTTTCTTTAAGAGAGTAATGAAAAATATAATTTGAAAAAAGAAAAATATTTTGAAAGTAACTAGTTTTACCATCCAAGCATAACCAGATTTTTCAGCCTCTTTCTGTGTTTTTATAATTTTCCCTTTGTAAGGTCCAAAAACTGTGCCAATCGGCAATGGTATTTCAGTCCATATTCCAAGTCCTGCTTTGGGAATGCTCGATATTCCAATAGAGAGAAAACTTGGAATTGTCAGGTCTGCTCTATCTGGTGTATTTTTGGGAACCTATATTGCCCGTAAATTGTCCTCTTTAATTTACATTTATTATCAGAAACATCGTACTATACAGATATGCAACAGATCAAAACATAATATTTTTACTTAATAAATGTTCTTATATCGATTTTTTATGTCTGGAAAGGTATAAGACATTTGATCAAAATTTGGCATTTTTTAACAGCATTTTTACAGAATCAAACTATAATTTGATGCTACAACAATGTGTTTATGATTTTAATCTCTACAAAGATATTAGAAAATAAATTCCTTTACCAATACCATTCTGTGGTTATTTTTACTATAAGAAATACATAACTGACGTCTATTTTGTCCGACGCCAAATTCGTATGTTTAGGACCTATAGCAAATATGTAAAAAAAACAACCTTATAAATAATATGATCTACTTTAGGAAGTTAAAAAGGTTGGTTTATATATTTTAAATACTCATTTTCTGAAATTTAAAGTACATATGGCCATACATTTAGGCTGACAAGTATTTCTTCATCAAATTAATTTCTTAAAAACAAATAGGTCATAGGTATATTCTTAGGAAGTATCTAAGTAACTGACTTCAATGAAGCATTGAATACTTAGATAGATTGAAAAATTTATTGTGACTCATAAAAAAATTTTAAGTAGGGGAGAGTGGGGTCAATTGTAACATTTTTTACTTAACTATTTTTAACTAACAAAAAATCCAATATATTATTAGTATTAATTGACAGACGAGTAAAGTAGGCTATCCTCTACTAGAAAAAAAATAAATACCTGATTTTAAATATTATTATATTAGTTATTAACAATTTTTGACATTCGTGCAGTTGTTACAATTGTCCCCACTTACGGGGTCAATTGTAACAGTTCATAAATTCAACTAAAACATAGTTAATTATACATATTATCATAGTTGTGATATATTTTTTTATTGATCAAAATAGTAGTGATATTTTAGGAGTAAAAATAATAATGAGCAGAGACCTAAAGGGTTAAACTTTTAACTTTAAGGGGTTAAAAATTTTAATTTATGCTGTGAAAGGTGACAAATAAAATAATGCACATGCAACATAATATAAATGATATAGGAAACTATTGGTGGTTCTTAAAGAGTTAAGTAATGGTTTGTAAACATAAGATTATTTATTTTCAGCTGTTACAATCGTCCCTTTACTTATTGTTACAATTGTCCCCAAGACGCCATTTCAGCTTCATTTGTTAAAAACAATGCTAGTTAATTAGCAAAACTAATCTTTTTTTTTTTGAAATGTTAATTAAGGTGTCCACTTACATATTCGGTTACTAATTTTTATTTGTTTAAACAAAATTACTTTGTTACAATATAATATTCTAATACCAAAAAAAGTACTTGCGTGGCGTGAAAATATCTTTTGTGATGTAACTCTTTCAAAAGTACATAAAAATGGTTGCCATCAGGGGTGTACATGTAGATTTATTAAATACACCTTGTGCGCCACCTAGGAACCAAATCTAGAACCCGACACTCGAAATTTTTGCTCTGTTACAATCGTACCCTGTTACAATTGACCCCACTCTCCCCTACTGTTTGAAAATCATAAAAATGTATTATTTTTTTTTCTTCAGAAATGACAAAGTGTTTAACAATCCTAATAAATCCTGAATCAGATGATCTTAGCTTGAACCATGTAAACAAAAAAAGTTTTATTAAAATCAACATAAAATACCACTCATAACTTAATGCAAACTGAAGGCAGAAAAAATAACCAAATTATAATATAATATTACCTTCATTAAAATATATATAGCTCTTAATAAATGCAATATTGTTGAAAGTCTTTAATGCAAAGATCACTTCTGTTCTTTTTGAATATCATTAAAAAAATTTAAAAAAAGTATTTGTTATTATGTTATAAATTTTAGAAAGACTGAACAAGACTATGAAATATGAGTTTTAAGGGTCGTTGTTTAATTTAAAATTTGTTATGAAATTCGGTGGAATTCTAGTAAATTTAATTACAGTTTAGTTAGTGTAAATATTAGTATAGTATAAATTTATTCAATTTGCAAATCGTTGATATATATAGAACTTAATCCACAGAACACGCGTATTAAACTACTGCTTTCTATTGCTAATTATCACATCAACAAAAATCTATGCATACAAATTCCTATTTAACCATTTAATACTTACTCTTCTATCACATACCCAAAGCATAGGGCCGTGTTTTGGACAAGCACCTTTATAGTCACAGTCACAAAAGTCACAATCTGTACACAAAAGAAATAAATCACTAATTTTGTGCTTACGCAAAATGCTTATATATACGATGATTATATAGAGAAATTTTCCTTGAGTTATACATAATAGGTAATTTAAATAGACTCTCTTATTTTAAAAACAAATAAGACCAAAGGTTAAATTTTTTAAAAAATAAAGTAAAATTCAAACGAATAATTTTTATGCAAAATATTTTAACTTATTTTTTGTTAGTAACAGCAAGTGTTGCGCTCAAATTTTCTGAAAGAAAAGGGAAATATAAACTACACATCCAATATGTTTCTTAGATAAGTGATGAACATAAAAAGTATGTTATTTAAATATATTTAATATGTTTTTAGGAGTTTAATTCACTAAATATAAATAAACTGCAAAAAAATGAAGGTTATTATTGCAGCGGTAAATTAAATTGAAAGCAAATTACCATTACTATTTTTTAAATTTCAAATTCATCTGGAATGTTATTAGAAAAAAACATAATTACTCTAAAATAATTATAAAAGGTAAATTATAATATTACAAGAAATTAAATTAAAGCACTTATAATTTGTATTTTTTAGCATTTTGCCTGTTGGAATATGGAAAAAACGACATAATTCTAAAATACAAGTTTAAGTATATTATTCCTTTAGCAATATTTTCCAAAATATTGAAACGAAAGCATATTTAGTAAAATGCGAAGGTGGCTTATAGTTAACTAACAGCGTTTTGAAACAAAATTAAGTTTTTCATTGGAATAAATTTACTTTTAGAATAAATTTAGTTTGTGTGTGTGGAATAAATTAAATTAAGAAACATTGAAAGATCTTTTTAAAACTACAATGCTTTTTCCACAATGTCTTATTAATTACGATGTCTTATTAAGTATAATCCTTCAAAAATGTGAGTTAACAGCAGAACAAAACAGCTTTTAACTGTCTTTCAATACACACATTTCTTAGTTTCAGTGTTCGGAATTGATTGCTTAGTTCTTTGAGGATAAAAAAGAGTTTAAAAAATGAGCTTTTTAAATCTCATCAAAAAATTATTTGTTTTTTTCTGATTTTATGTACTTTAAAGTGAGCTAGCAATTCAAAAATTAGTTAAACAAATAAAATACTCAGAATAGCGTGTATCTGCATTATTTGATAATTTAATATTTATTTTATAAATAAGTTTCATACTTACACAAGAACTCGTCATCACTAGAGACGTCCTCTTCTTTGTAGGATTTTTGTTTCACATTCCTTTTAGGATACCGACTTGGAGTTTCAAGCTCTAGGTAGGAATTGATGTAAGAATTGAGTTGGTTGGTATTTATTAACGATATGTTTATCAGAACTTTGTAAATTGTTGTTTTTTATAAGTAAGGAGCTACACAAACAGTAAAACCAAACGTATATATATGTATGTATGTATGTGTATATATATCCAATTAGGTAACAAAAACTGAGTTAGATAATACGGAAAATAAGTGTATCTGTATTATTAGATAATACGTAAAATTGAAATAAATAACACTGCCACAGATGTGTTTTTTAAAACTAAAATCACTTGTAATATTATCCGAAAAAGATAATTTCTTTACACGTTTACAAATACTTATCTAATTTGAAATAAAAATTCTTCCAGTGCATGAAATTGTTCTAAAAGGCATTTCATTCGAATTATACAATTTTGTTTCAAACTAAAATAATTAAGCTTTTTAAGCATCCATTTATGACACTTGTTCATTATAGGATAATTCATCAAATACGATTTGCAAAAATCTTATAAGATGTCTTATTCTAAAAAAATTACTGAGACATATTTTCGAATGATATCGAGGCGGAAATGATGAAAAAATTACCAAACCTTCATATGATAAAATGTTAAAATTATTTGTTACAATTCATTAGTAGATAATAATTTACAAGACAAAGGCATACCAATTGCTATTTTAATTACGTCTAGGGTTTATGAATTTAAAACCCGTTTGGTGTTGCTAAATGGTGATTTTCCATTTTACGAATTTTCCAAATAACGAACTTTTTTATCGGGATTTAGCAATTTCGTTAAACAGAGGTCCGACCATATTTCGATATTCAACATTTCACAAACTTGATTCCAGAAGTAGAAACTAACATGTAAAATTATTAAAAAAGATACCAAAGAGTTGAGAATTGATTTCGTTACTACATCCAAGACTTCTTTACGAGCTACATATCTATATATTTTGAGGAAAATTTTTTATGCACAATGCTATAGTTCATATAATTTTGAATGGGATTCATCCTTTAGCAAACATGAGAAAAATCAACCATTATATTAGTGTCGTAATTCCTTATTTGGAGGTAGTAGAACAAAAAATAATTGTCAATACTATAGCTCAATCTTGTCATAAAAAGCATTGTTCAATATAAATCGATGTGTTTGTTTCGTAATAGCACACACCATTTAATAATTTTTTAAAAACCATTTAGTTTGTTATATAATAACAGTTTTTCTTAGAAACATTTACTGAACATTTCTGCAACATCAGAATTGCCACTAATTCTTGATTGACTGTTCTTTAAAAATCTGACCTTCAAAAAATTATAGACTTTCTGTTATAATTGTAACTTTCAAATGTTTTGGAGATGGATTCCACAACAATATTTTGTAGTGCCATATAAATGAATAAAAAATGTTTTTTTGTAAATATTATTAAAATTGAATTGTAATACCCTATTCATTATAATAACTCCGCTGTATTTTTGAGAGGAAGAAAATATTAGAGAATTTCCTCAATCTGTAGTTGACATTGATATTACTCTTACATACACTAGTGTAACTTTTAATTCATTAATTTAAAGTCAAAAACGTAATTAAATTTTGAGAAAGTATTGTAAAAAGGTAAATAAACATAATATCCGGTTTAAACATACCGTTCTTAATAACGTAAGTATTTGAAGCAAAAGTAATGAAACATTATTATGATAGGTCTATTTATTCTACAGACGATTGCATAACCCATGAAAAGCATAAATCTACATTTTAAAATTAAATGTATCTTTTTACTTTTATCTATTTCGTTCTCAAAGGCCAGATCTTCTTCAGGGGACAATGGCTCCAAAGCTTCAAAATGGCGCTGAGCTCTCTCCAATAATATCTTTGCGAATTTCTTTAAACCCATTTCTCTTGGGTGAATTTTTACCTCTTGTTCCGTCTGAAATGCAATTTATTGATAACTAATTAATATTCCAAAATAAAATTATCCTTGAAACGATTTGCATTTTCCAAATAAATAAATGCAACAAAATAATTAAAAATGACTAAGTTTCTCTTTTGGAGAATGCAATAATACGATTTTTTTAAAGTAATAAAGGGCATAGCATGGGTTCCTTGATATTTAAATCATATCTTTAAATCTTGCTGGGTACTTAAATCACCTTCTTTCTATAACTCAAAAATCCTCATAAGCAATATATTAATTAGTTTATTAACATTTTTTGACGGATAAACAATAAAAGCATAAATGCCAATGTTTTAAAAAAAAAACTTCGTTTATGCTCACAAAATAATTAATTAGACAAAATAAATTAAAAGTACCACAATAAAAAATTTCATAACATTGAAGCTAAACAAAGCATTCACATTTTGCTCAATAAAATATTTGTGATTCTTTCCTCTTAGATAATTCTTCGAAACACGCAGTAGTCGTGAAAAGGTTGAACCCAAATCACTTTCAAAATCAAAGCAACTCTTTGAAATAGTTTTTGAGAGAATCACAAGAGAAGTTGATACAAATGACAAATGAAAATGTCACCCTACACTTTCTTTCATTTTTCAATAAATTCCCCACATTTCGAACCAAAATCTTGTGTCACTGATTTCTCTTCAAATATGTATTAAAATGCATTTTAAGTTTTACGAAATTAATCTTGCAAAGCATCAAAAACTCTTTTTACTAACAAAGTAACAGATAGTAAATGTAATACCTCATAAGAGGGGAAACCATCTCCGACATTCATTTTATAAGGCGAGATCTGCAGCAAAAAGCAAACATAATCAAACTGACCTTATTCTTACTTGAAACTAAGGAACTCCCCATAGGAGATAATTTTCTAAGAAAGGGCTTTACTTTTAGAATTATGAGGATTAAATTCTGTTGATATGCGCGTAAAGGGAAACACAAAATTGCCATTTCATAAAATTTATTGAGCAAAAATTTTAGATGAATGTATGAGTCCATTTAAACCTTTCGAAAACCAATACAGTAAATTATTAATTTATGCAACATGAAATTAAGATTTAAAAAAATATATTAGGATGTCTGTAGTTCTTTTTCTTCCTTCCTACATATAGAGGAAGTACTTAAACGTTATCAAATTTTAAGTGATTTTTTTTCGTTCCAATCCAAGTAAAAAGAATTTCCTTTATTTGAAATTGGAAAAATATAACAGAATAAAAAGAAATTATATTTTAGAGTCTGTCAAAAATATTTCATCCAACTATATTTTTTTGACAAAATTTAATCAGTCGATGATGACATTTGTTTGAATTTATATCTATGTATATAGTACTAACGTATTACATGTATGCTGTTGATGAAGCAACAATCTACGCTCCTTTACTAAGAGAAAAAAAAAGTATTAATCTAAAATTCTTCTCAGTCGATAATTAATATTTCTATTATTACTAATTCATTATCAAAGTTTGATTACATTGGTTTCTCGGTAATTTATACTCCGAGGAAAAAAAAGTATGATCAAAACTATCAAAATATAGTTTTGATCATACATTTACTGTGTTTCTGGGCTATGGAAGCAATAAAAAAATACGGTAATTTTTACAGAAGCACTTTTGGTCAAATTTACAATAGAATACGGCTGTTCGGTAGTAGATGTGAAATTTTTTCATGACACCTTAGAGCCAGAAATAAAAACCATTTATTAACCATTAAAACTATTGCATTTAATTTTGAGTTTTGTATTTTTTTTTTGAATGCGTGGTAATAAAAGCAATAATTTTGAAAACCAGAATTTCCAATAAACTAATACCATACAAACTAAAAATTAAAAAATTAATAATTTTAATACCATATATGTTTTTATCAGTTTTAACTGTTGTTTTTTTATCAGAAGAATCATTACCATACAATTACGGAACATTTAAACGGAAATTACTTTCTCCATGTTTAACACAATTCTTGGTAGAATTCATTTTACTATAAATTTAACTTAAAGCTTTACGTTATCTTGTTGGTTTTTAAGCACCATTTCTCAATTCATCAAAAGCAATTAAAAAAAACATTAATATTAACAAATATTTTTGTTGTTTTTATATTTAAAAAAAAGTGCGTACTCCGAAAGGAGGTCATAAATAAATGTCGTAAATAGCATATTATTATTAATTCCCAGAATACTAAATTTTATTAAGCTACACGCTATTTTTTATTATTACATTTAAAAATTAAATTTGTTATAATTCATGACTATTTCTCTCAAATTGCTTGCTACATTTGCATTTAGTTCTGCAAAATAATATTTCTAAAAAAAGGAAATCGGATATTAAAAATTATTTCACGTAATTCAATAATATATTTAGAATAAATCTGGCAAACATAATATTCTTATTCCCTTTGTAATAGGTTTTTATTAACAATTGATTTTCAAAATTTACCACTTACATTTTCTTTCAATTTTAACTTTTTCTCACTATTCTGATTAGTCTCTGAAAGGAAAAACACATTTTCAAGAAAATCTTGCCAAATAATTTTATCAATTCTTTAACTAGATGTCTCATACAAGCAAAAATATATTGAAACAATTATAATTCTTACTTTTTTGACCATTCTTTTCTTTTCTCTTTTGTGTTTCTGATACAGCAAATAACTTGAAATTAGTTTTCTCGAAGCCTTTGACTGTCAAAAGAATATAAGATAACATAAAACTGTTTTTTTTTTGCATTTATATAAATACTTGATCTTGCTTAATTTGGATGTGGGGAATTCGAATCTGAAATTACTTTTGCTTCTAAAGCTGCAGTTTTTAATGACATTTTCAATCGATTTTTGCTCCAAATGTACAAGTTAAAAATTGCTATTCGTAACAGGAAGCCCCATAAATGTTATGATAGGCATTTAGGGGAGTTAGGGTGCATCATCAGGTATGAAATTCCATAAGAACCTATGCCCAAAACTTTCATATTACAGTTCTAGGATCACTTCCCTATTCTGATCTGTTCAGAAGTATACGAAGAAATGTTTTATAGTAGAAAACACCTGTAGCGCCGCATGACAGCACATGTTCATATGCAATTATAATTCCGACGATAATTTTATTCAACTCCCTTAGAAGTTTGTAGTAGGATTTATGAGATCCCTTGTTATATATAACCTTTATGAACTTGTACTTTTCAACCAAAAATAGACTAAAAATGTCATTTAGAAAGAAAAGAAACATGGCTTTTAGAGAAAAACCGATTGTAGATTTGAAGTCAGTGATATGAAAATATCTAGCATCTGTTAAAAATTCCCATAATATAGAAAATAAAAAAAATGTTTTCCATTACAAAATTTTTTTTAAGAAGTTTTTTCGTTTAAGTTAAAGAATTGTATTAATTCAAATCTGAAATCAGCGATAAATTGTTCCTTTCTGGAAATATTGTTCCCCAGTTCCCATTAAAAGAACCAAAATTGTCTAATTTATAAGAAGCTAAGCAACCCTAATAATTCAAATTGCAAAATAAGGCTTGACATTGCTTTCAATTTGTTATAAGCTCTGTATTTTCATTTAGGTTCCATATGTTTTATAAGATAATAGCTGAAATATATAGATACAATATATATATATATATATAAAATATACGTATAGATAAAAAAATATATATAAAAGGGATTTGAAACACAGATTTTGGAATGGATAATGGAATACTATATATTTAAATTATAAATCACTTAGTCAATTTAAGAAAACATGGATACACCGCTGCACCACTCATCTCTCTCTTATACATGCTATGGGGAAAAAAAACTACTCTTAGCTTAAAGCTACTGAGATATAATAATGAGAAGGAAAATAATCAAAACTAAATCCGGTTTTTACGACAAAAGCCAAATTATGACAACCAAAATGTTTCAACTACTGTTGATTCAACTCCATCTCTTTTTTCATCGCAATAGGTTCTTTAGTAATTAAGAAGATTTCTTTTTTGTGTTATTACGTTCTACACTTTTATACAAATATTTTTGAGCTAACGTAAAATATGGTTAAAAGTATTCCGTTCTGATAAAAGCAATGTTTAAGTATGAAAATGTATTTTAAGGTATTAAGCTTCACACACAGCAAATAATAATTAAAAATTAAGAAAAAATATCATGCATGTTTGTCGTGAACAGATTTGCGCTAGGCAGAAAAATTTCTTCTTTTGCTTTAATAAAAAATATTTTTAAAACATCCTTATTTAAAATTCAGCGTTGTACTTTTAGGCCTTCACATTTTAATCATTGAATTATCATGACAACTGATTATTTATAACTATTTATTAATTATAAATTTAATTAAAATTTTCTTACACAATATGTATTTGAATAAAATTTTTGATATAATTTTAATGCGTTTGCTTTTTCACTATGTAACTATATTTTTTTTCTAAAAATTGAACATATTTTAAATTTGAGAGTACCTAGCAAATAAAATTCATAGTTCTCATTTAGTGATACTTAGATTAACGTCTTACCATGGCGTTGACTTCTTGAAATACTTTTCTGGTTTCTCTGAATCTTTTTGGCTTGTGAAGTGCCTTTTTCTTCGGGTTCCAGAAATTTAGGAAGTTTCGTAGCAACTCCTGAAATTGAAATTAAATTTATTAAGAATAAAAAAAATTTTCTTTTCATTTAAAACATATGTATTATAAAAATATATAAGCAATTACATTATGCTTATTTTTGAAATCCTATGTTTTTTTTAATTGATAAATAATAAAACTTTCTTAAGAATATGTTAATTAATGTTTAAAAATGTGTACTTTAAGAATGTTTGAAAAATTATTAATAGAACTGAAACACTATTCATTTTTTTTCTCAACTGAGTTCGATCCAAATGGCAGACTAAACAATCGGCGTAAGCACACAGCAATGTATACGTTAAATCTGTAGTGACTGGAAGTCCTCTAATCGGCTGGGAAGTGAAATTGTAGAGAAAGAGAGGTACCAGCTCAGGCGCTGTCCACGTCGTCTGTCCAGCATCTAAATTACATGGTTTATTCTTACTATGTCCGGAAAGGGATAGAACCCTGAGAATAAGGATGGGTGCGTGGCCACAGTTGACTGATGATGTCCTTTCAACGATATTCTTAAAATCAGAGTTCATCAAAATTATTTTCTTATTTCATTATCTATTGTAATAAAATTTTCAAATACTCCCTGGAATTGTTCAAAGCATATTTCATTTATAATTGTATTGACTAATTAAATTATGTGGTTATATTTATACTAATGACTAAGATCTTCTATGCAGTGTTCCAGAAAACTGAAGGAAAAAAATATTACAAAAAGGGACCAACTAGAAGCGTTTAATTGGTACATCAAAAGAAACAAATCTATATATGTCTTTTAGAGAACATTTGCAAGTCTTAAATCCATTAGGTGTCTTAATTACCATAGTTTGTGTGACAAATCACGATACGGAAACATTCGAATGCTTATTCCAAACTTAACATACGGTTCCCAATTTTGTCTTCACAAATAATGAAAAGGAGAATATTTTGTCTAATTTAAAATTCGATAACATTCAGATACATATTTCCCAGTTTCAGATAAGTATTCGAACAATATATAACTTTTTCTAGTTGGATATTAGAAAATAACAAGTGGTCTAGGTATTTAGTGGTGTTCTAATTACTTAAATTATTATTTTATTTAGTTATCATTCATTTAAATCTAAGAGAAAATTAAAAACATAACAACACTTTCATGGAATATCGAATTTAAAACTACGAATTCTCAAAGAAGTATAACATACCTAAAGATTTTAGAACTTCCCAGTTTCTAACGACATTTGAATAGCGCTTTCTTTCGTACTCACTCAGAGATTCCCATTTACTGTTACAAGGCAATTTATTTATTTCACAAGTTTCATTCATTTTTCACGAGAATTCAACAAACCTACTATCGACATTTAGAACAACGTTATATCAGTCAGAAGTATTCGCTTGCTTCCAAAAGAGATAAATTTATTTACACCAAACGATTCAAAAAAATATGCAGAAAATTTTTTTAATTCGACTTCAAAATTCGTTACTAGAGTCAAAAGTAATTGTTAATACTATTTTTTAAATTTTAGAAAAAAATCAACGTTTAATTTAAAATGTAAGAAAACTTTTCAAAAAGATGTGTTTCAGAAATTTTTTTGAAAATATTTCCTTTAAAAACTTAGGTAGCAAAAATATCGTTTGCATTTCTTTTTAATTTATGACATGAATTTTTGGAAAATAAAGCAGACGATAATATTTCATCAAATCTAACAAATAAAAAGAAAATTTGCAAACGCAACGACCTGTAGGGGACGCTGTTATTTGAGACGAATGTCTGCTGGCAGAAAACGTTGTTGGACTGGAGATGTCTTTAGAGTAGCATTGTAACGTTCCTTCATTATTGAGGCTTATTCAATTTAAAGAAGAAAAATGTATGATATTCTTTCTTATGCAAGCAAAAACAAAATTTAATCTCCTTTTTTTAGAGCAGGAACATCCAAAATATATAGGAAAAATATTTGTAAATAAACAGAAAAATTTAAAACACCTCAACATCGGTGTTTATGGAAGAAAAAATAATTCTCGTATGGTGTGAATGCGTGTGAGTTTAGTGTAAGATTATTAAATTTTAGGTGCTTAGATATAAATTGCACTTCTTTAAATCGCATATAAACGTTCACTGTTAAAAATGTCTCGGAAGTAATGGTTAAATAGCAATTTATTTAATTAATATTCCACCATATTCAAACAAAACAGTCAAATAAACATAAATAAAATGGTAATCAAACTGTTAACTGTGAAAAAACCCGTTTACTGATTGTTTTCACGTAATATGGTTATGCAATCAGAATCTTATTGTACCAACTAAGAAAGCCCCTTAGTTTGTTGTAACTGCTTACATATTATAACTGCTTACATATTATAACCGAGAAGGCTTATCCATCAGTGTCATGGCCAACGGGAAGGGAGTCCAAGCGTTGACGCCACAATATTTTCTCCATTCCCTTCAACACATGAAGAATTCCAGTGCCCATTACCCAACGAAAAGCCTAGCTCCTATATCGAGTTAAATTTCCTTTTTATGATTTTGAAACCATGCTAGCCCTAAATGAATAAAAAAAACATATATTCATATATTTATGGTTTTATAACCATTCTAGTTATAAATGGTTTCTAAACTGTAAGAATAAAAAATATTCTTTTGTGTAAACTTTACTTTTAATTGGATGGACAGACTGCTGCCGTTTATTTTGCCATAATTTTGGAATGAAAATTCTAATAGTGCATTAACCTGGAATAAAGTGTCCCTACACACAATTGTTAGTATTCGTAAACATAATATTTAGCGAGACAATGCAACACTGTTTTTAGTGTGGACAGAGCGTTACCGGTTCACTCAACCACCAAGGGTGGACTTGTAAATACAAGGAGGTAATTCGTTACCAATTTCACACACATCTAAAAGCGATTTTGCCATAAATTGTAAAACTTAGAATGAATTAGAGAAAACATTAATTTCTTAAATTGAACACTTTATTTATAGAAATTGTTGAACTTCGGGATTATTAATTTTTCTATAAAATTCATACTTTACGGTGCTAATCTGTCTTCAGTATTTTGAAAGTTTTACGAAAGACCAGTACCCTGCATCTCTCGATTCGACTCCAGAGATGAAGACAGACTCTATATTGAATGGCATTTAACTTGTGTACATCTTCTTTTTCTTTGAATCGGGGACAGGGATCGACTTCGCTTAGAGTGAAATGTTTGCGTTTGATTATGAATTATTTCCGTTATCGAGGAGGTCGAACGATCAGTTGAGTTGCTTCTAACATTTCTCGATTTTTTCATGTTTGATTTCTTAGACTTTATTTGGTCTTTGGAGTGATTTGGCGTGAAGTAGAAGTTTTCTAGTCGTTTACGAAAGAAAGGTCTGGAGCCAAGTGAAATATGTTCTACAGCTTCTGCAAGTTTGTCGGTTTCTTGAAGCAATTCTTTATGGGACCTCTTACTCATCATGCAAAAATGAAAACAATTAAGTTTAAATGGTTCTTTTTTATTGAAATTGGCTAAAGTAAAATGTTGCTGGTACTTTGTATAACATAGTGCTTTTGTTAACCTAGGTAATAATTCATTAATATTTTGGAAAAATATTCCGTATTTGGAATTCTGTAATTTCTTTAATTTTCTTCACCTCTTGGTTCGAATCCAATGGCTGACAGTTTTGGGCTACTGGGCTACATTTAATTTATCTGTGCACCACTTTTTCCTTTGACTTGGGAACAACGAATAATTTCCATTATTGAGGAGTTCGTACGATCATTTGGGCTACTTCTATCTTTTCTTGGATTTTCAGTTTAAACTGTGCCGTTCATTTAAAACAATTCCATTTAAATAATTGACATTAATAAACATGAAATGATGCTGATACTTTTTATAATATTGTGCTCTTGCTAACCTTGGAACTTCAGTACTGAGTAATTATTCAACAATGACGATGTCCAAGTCAGAGTTTGAACTAGATCAGTATTCCACTATCATTCAATTCCGTTTGCACTATTCATATTGGACGATACGTATTCCTATCCTAAACGAAACGTATTTCCATTTGCTGTATCTATGGCTGATTAATCATTGATGTATTTTCAAGCGATTCTTTTCCTTTCGGGGGTGGGGGACAGTTTCGTTTAGAGTAAAATGCGTATTTTTGTTCACGAATATTCTCCATGATCTAGGAATTTGAAAAGATCACAACATTTTCTACCTCTTCAGCGATTGATAATTTTTAAACTTAATGTGATCTTTGTAGTAATTTGCCACCTTACAAATGTTTCTGATCATTTAATGAAGTGGAAGACGAAACCTGAAAACATGATTTTGATGAACTTGAAAACCTGTGATTTTTCTTTTTTTTTTAATTGTGTTTCAAATTCTTCAAGTTCTTGCTTCATTATGTTATAATTTTATTTTTAGCATTATCTACGTCTTTCTAACTTGCTGCCAAAGTAAAATTCTTTTTCGTTAGTTTTGAAAATAAATCTTTTATATATTGATTTAAACTGCTAACTATTTGCCATATGATGGACCTCTAGTAGTTATTTTATATCACCTCATAACATTATCATAAATTCGATATTTATTGTAGGGCATGGAAAATACATTTTAAAATAGCAATCCTTAAACAAATTTCATTAATTTTGAGAATCATTTTGCCACGAAATCACGCGATTTGTAACGAAACGATCAAATACATGGCGAAAATGTTTTTTCAACTCCAAATCACACCAGAGTGCATTGTATGAGATTGTTAACTAGAATGAGGAAACTAGATACTAGAAACTAGACTGAACGGACTGTATGGTTGTCAAAGAGTTGGCCTTGAACCAAACAGATTTCGGGTACAAACATCGCTTTAGACGAGGTGTAACTTAAAACTTTATTCCATCTGTCCTTGTTCGTTCGATATTGGTCCACTATGTAGTGGTTATTAGAAATGTTACATATGCATTTTATTTTAGGAAAGAAACAGATTCACCTTTCCTCGAAGAAGTAATGATAGTTATTTCGTCGTCTTGACGAATTTTTTCCTCGGAACATACATCAAGAACTATTTTCGCAAAGAACGAGGAAGGTTTCGTTATATTTGAGAATACATTTTTTACAGTGTTCTACTTTATTTCAAAATATATCAATATAATTCATATTTTACACCCTTTAACAAATAAATTTTAACACTCATATTTTTCAAAACAACTCAAGATTCTGCAAAAATAAAAGCTTCTATGTGAAAGGCTTACATTTCTGCTTCGCAGTATCGTAAAAAAAGATGCTTATACCCTCATTCTATTATGTATACTTTAGTATTTTATTTCANGTATATATATATATATATATAAATATGCTCAAGAATATGTTGTGAAAAGATATAGCGAGCGAAACATCATTTGCCTAATAATTATGAATCATGCATCAACATGCATGAAAAATTAACATGATAATTAATTTTTTAATTAATTAAATTAATCTAAGATGTTGATTCTTCCCCACACCAATTATGAAGCAAACTAAGTTTTTACTGATAAGTATTTCTTTCAGTTTTCTTTAATCAATACTTGCTAACTATTGCCTTAGCTAAATTGTATAAAATGAGAAAAAATGAATTCCTTATTACAAATTGATCGCTGAATTCTCTGATTTAACAAATTCACCTTTTCACTGATTAGCTCTCATTCTCTTAATCCTCAATTCAAATGCTTTAAATCGCTATTGGTATGAAATTATTATATGAAATGATCATCTTTAGCAAATAATTTTTACTAAAGATGTGGTGAGTTTCGAATAATTACCCTAATTTTTTGGTAAAGTTGTGACTGTTTGGTTAGAATCCTATGTATGTTAGTTATGAAAGTGTTGCAAAATGTCAATGTGAAGAACAGTCACAGTTTTGGGAAAATCAAAAGTGTTTGTGTTCTTACTTTTTCAACATTTAAAAATACATTAACAATTAACGTTAACTTTCTCCAACTCTACATTGTCTGGGCTCATAAATATTTGTAAATATAAATACTGATGATTTGCATCAAGGTGGAAAAGTAACACCAAATTGGATACTCTCAATTCAAGAAGAAGAAGACCGCTGACACACATTCACCAGATCTATAACCTCAGAGTCAGCTGGTTGTTTATAAACAAGATAGCACGGTCTCGTTGCAACTGTTTGGCAATCATTTCCTCTTCATTACTTTGGTCCACATATGTGAACAGTCACTTCTTAGCTTCTAAAAACACGTTATAAGAAACTTTACAGTTTTATCCTCACCTCAGACAAAAAAATATTGTCAAAAATCTCAGAATATGGTAAAATTTACAATGTTTCTTACTCTACGCGATCACCGAAAAGCTCTGTAATTTTTACCGAAGCGCGTTGATGATGATTTTGGTAAAAATAGGTATAAAATATAATTTTAGAATTCGTGATAAAATTTAGAAAATGTAGTGAATTTTCGTGATTTTAGACCATGGCACTAAAACTTTTAATTCGGTCAGATTTACTTTTCAATTTTGCAATTTTTACCAATTGTGTGGCAATAAAAACTCTAATTTTGAAAACTAGAATTTCCAGTAAACTGATACCATAGGAATGAAAAAACTATAAAATGAATAGTTTTAAATACCATTCATTTGGGTTTCACTAACCTGAATTGGTTTTGTTTGGTTTTGTTTGGGTTTTTTTACCAGATGTAATACATTATCATACGCAACTAGAAGTTTATCAAATTTTTAATTCTTTTAATTTTTTTTAAAAAATTCAGCATAGTTTGCAAAACAAATCAGCACAAAGAATAGTTTCAAATTATGAGACTAATAAGTCATATTTGATCCTTAATCGTCCTTTCATTTGTGAAAATAATTTTTGTTTATTTTAAAATATAATTGTCCCCCAACAGACATACTAAACAATTCAATTATATTCCATAATGCATCTCGTTACGCTCTGTAAAGATAATTTTTATTTTCGAAACAATGCAAGAATCATTCTGAAAGGAAAATGTTAAAATTGTCAGAAGATTATTCAAAGTTCATTATTTCTACTTCCAAAATTAAGAGATCATTAATATTAATATCAAATTATTTTTCTTTAGAAATTTAAAAAAAAAATGGTTCTCTTTTCGATAATTAAACATTTCAAAACGAGAGAGAATACGAACAGGTAATTAGTTTCAAGTAAAAGATTTGCTGTATTAATTCTGATAGGTTTAGAATATTTTTCTTGATGTGAAGAATTTAAAATCTTTTTCACCAAATTTAGCCTGGCTTTACATGATAAAAGGACTTTAGAATTGTAATGAGTATTTGAGTTGAAATTGCAATGATTTCTTTTCGGAATAATAAATTAAGCATAAGTCAATGAAACATTGTTTTTAAAGTTAATCCTAAAGAGTCAACGCAGTGTTTCACTATAGTTTATCATTAAAAATCAGGGCAATAAAAACCGCCGAATTGCCTTTTTGGTCTTGTTAATATAAATAATACATGTCAGAATAAAACATTTACTGATCCGGACATCTTTTCGATTGAGCATCAATGAAAATATATAAATGCAAATATTAATAATGTTTCAAAAATCATATTAACAACTTTATCTGTATATTAACAGTTTTATAGGTAGTGCTAAATACTAACAGCACAGAAGTATTACGTATTTCTGATTAAAAAGTATTAAGCTCCAATAAGCATTGATAGAGTAAATGCAATGTACCATCATGAGGAATAAAGTTCTATTATCAATACTATGAAGTATTATAGGCATAAAATTGCCTATCAACATGTTAATTTAAAACAGTTGTTATAATCATTTATACTTGTTGTTTTCTAATGAAATTAACAAGTTTAAAAAAGAAAATTAAAATAAATAGGCTTAACGAAAGGGATAAAAAAGCTAATTTTCGCTTAATAAATTCTTATTAAAGTAATTAAATTGAATAATATTTTTGCCAGATTAAATATAAACTATTTTTCTTTTTCTTTCCCTTCAGTACCGTTTATTAACCCCATCAGCCATCTTTGTGATTTTCATAAGAATCGAGAGGTATTTTAAAAATCGATATTTTTCGATAACCCTGCTTAAATATTTACCTGACTGGCTAAGCATCTGAGTGCTAAAAACAGAAAAAAATACAAGCCTAAATTAGATTTTTACATATCTCTCGCATGTTATGCAAAATAATTTTCATACCCTGATACTAATCATGCTCAGGAAAAGGTAACATCTTTATTTGAAATATTTTATTTTGGTTTAAAATGTATTTCTTTTAGTAATTTTCTTTGCAACACACAAGAATTAACAAGTACGTTACGAATATAAGATAGCCTTTCGAAATATTTTATTGATTAAAGCTTTTTTTTCACAAATAAATTTTAATTTTTCTGTTCAAAAGTTTTTTTTTTAAATAATTCATTTAATTATCCTTTATCAGGTTCTTTAGTAATCCACTATTTCTTCACACAGGCACAGG